TGATTTTTTAAATTTATTGTAGAGATGAGGTCTTGCTGCCCAGGCGTGTCTCGAACCCGCGGACTCAGGCAGTCCACTCACCTCAGCCTCCCAAAGGCTTTTGCGAGCCCAGAGGCCGCCTCTCTCCACCCTCTCTCCGTCCCTTTCCCGACCCTGGAGCCCTGGGCGGGGCAGCCCCCGTCCCTGTCCTGGCCCGAGCTTGTCTGTGCAGCACGCCCCATCCAGGTCCCTTCCCTCCCAGGAGGCGCGTGTCCTGGAGGAGGCGGGCCGGCTGGAGGAGGAGGCGCAGCTGACGCGGATGCAGCTCCAGCAGCAGCTCCTGGCCGAGGCCCAGGAGGTCAGGCAGCTCCTGCAGCAGCACTCGGAGCGCGCCATCGGGCAGGCCCTGCTGGCGTACGCCCGGAACGCGGCCACCAAGAGCCGCGCCAAGGACCGGGAGGACTTCAAGGTGTGTGCCCGCCGCCGGGCCCTGGGACTCAGAGGCCACGAGGGATTGGGGTGGGGTGGGGTCGGAAGACCTGGACTGGGTCCTTGTCTCGCCTTCTGCAGAGCTGCTGGGCTTGGAGAGCTTGCCTGACTGCCCCAGGCCTTGTTTTGCTCAGCGGTGAGATGGAATCTTCTTCCTCTTCAAACGGTGGTGATTCAAGGCAGCAGACCACAGGTTCTCCTCCTGCCGCTAGGCCCTGGGTGGCGTCACTCTGAGCGCTGGCTCTGTCCTTTGCGGCAGCCCTGAGCACAGCACGGTGTCACCCAGAGCCACATAGCCAGCCCGTGATAGTGTAGCAGGAAAAAGAGAGAGATTGTGGCACCGAGACCATTATAGGAAGTGGCACTTTATTACGCTGGTCATTCCAGTGGGCCCGAGGGTTTAATGCATCCAAATCGAGCGCCCCAGAACAGGAGACGTGGGGTCTTATACCCTCGTTTAGGTAAGGGAGGGGGTTGTGTTGAGTGATTACATACTTTCTTTGGAATCTCACAAGGTTGTACTCAGCAAAATTAGATTTTTCAAAGAACAAGTGGTTTCCAGGAACTGCAGGCTTGTAAACCGTCAACTTCAGAAGGGGGGTTTTAGATAAGACTCTTTTCCATTTGGATGAAATGGCCAGTCTCTGGGCCATGTGGCCTTTCTTAAACAAAACCTGCCCAGCGCCTGGCGGGTCTTTAAAGTTGCAACTTGCCTCTCAAAAGGAAATACCTTGAACTGCTACCAACCCCCCTTCCTGCCACTGGGCTAGTGGGAGTCCTCCCAGGTGATTGCCATGAGGCCAACTGCTGATCCCGAAGCAGCTACATGTGTTTCTGTGTTTATTCCCTCAATCATACAAGAAATATATTTGAGCATTTGCCACACCCTGCCACAGTAGAGCCAGGATCCAAACACAAGCCCCTCTCCAGAGTGAGATGTGTGCTTTCTCTGCCCCTGGCTGCCTTCCCTGAGATACTGAGGTTTTCCAGTCAATCTCAATGGCTGAGCAGTGCCATTAAAATCAGTTTGACTGGCGTAGACAGTGGTGTATTCCTTATGTTGACAATACAGGAAGTCCCCAACATACTAACGGGTTCTGTGCCAAGAGCACATTTGTAAGTCCAGTCTGTTTTGTTTCTTTTCTTTTTTTTGAGTCAGACTCTCACTTTGTCGCCCAGGCTGGAGTGCAGTGGTACACTGCTCACGGCCACCAGAGCCTCAACCTGGGGGGCTCTGGCCATCCTTCCGCCTCAGCCTCCCAAGTAGCTGGAACTACCGGCACGTGCCACCACACCCGGCTAATTTTTTGATTTATTGTAGAGACAGGCGTCACCAAGTTGCCCAGGCTGGTTTCGAACCCGCGGACTCAGGCCATCCTCTCGCCTCTGCCTCCCAAAGTGCTGGGATGACAGGTGTGAGCCACGACGCCCGGCCCACTTTGTTTTAAGTCCAACAAAAGTAGCCTAGGCACCCAACTAACACAGTCAGCTATATAGTGCTGTATGTATTTAACAAGCTGTACTGACATCTGGTGGCAAGAAATAATACATGAAAAAACACGGGTGTGCATCACTAAAGTTTGTAACAAAGTTTGTAACTTATGCAAGGGGCTTACTGTAATAATGATAAAAATTATAATGGTAAGAAGTCAGATTAGCATTGCTTATAAGTCTGACTGAGTGCTTTCGCCTACCTTGTCTCCTTGGATTCTCCCCACGACCTTGCACAGTCAGGATGGTTCTTCTTCCCAGGGGGAAAACAGGGGCCTGTGATTGGGCAGAAGACACATTTCAAGCCTCCCAGCCGGCGGGCGGCCGCATCCTGGCTGCCCCGGGGTCCGCGGCCCCACGACCATCACACGCCACGTCTGCCTGGTGCCTCCCCTCCAGCCGCGAGGAGGCGGGACACTCTCGCTTGGTGCAGACTGTTGGGGAAAGCGTGTCCGGACGGCAGACCCCAGCGGGGTCGCAGTCTGTCACCGGCAGGCGTCCCTGGCGTCGTGAAGCCCTGGCCCATGTCAGGGACCTTCGGAGGAGCCCTTGCGTCTCGGGAGAGGGAGTCCCTCCACCGACCTGTGCCGTCCAGAGGCAGCACCCTCGTTTCTGCGGTGCCCCATCCGGTTCGCGTCTGCCTCAGTCATCCAGACACCAGGGCTGTGCCGGGCTGGGGCATTGGGAGTGGCGCCCTTCCCCCTAAGATTCTCCGGATCTGGCCTAACAGTAAATGCACGAGCAGGGAATGAGGTCTCAGCGCCTCCTGCCTTGTCCTCCACTTCCAGAGGGACTTGGAGTTGGGCTTAGAAAAGGAGTCCCCTCCTCGGCCCCCCAGTCACACACACAAGAACGAGCACTGCTCAGTTTCTTGGAGCATGCTCAGTCCCTCAGCCTCCGTTCATGGAGCCTCCTGGCCGGAGGGGCTGAGGACAGAGCCGAGGGGGCAGCCTCCTGCCTTCCGAGAGCTCGCCATCCCCTGGGGGAGAAGCAGGTCGAGAGTGAAAGGCCACCGTGGTCACGGGGAAGTTCTGCCCAAAGGGATCGGGGATGGCTTGGAACACCGCAATCCTGGAGCCCGTGGGTCTGCAGCTGGGCAAGAGACGCCCGCGGAAGACGCCGCTGGGGAGAGAAGGCGGCCCAGGGCAGAGCACCTGGGGAAGGGAGGCAGTGGCTGCGGGGAGCAGGTGCAGGGGCTGCAGGGGGGTGTGAACGACGGTGGCGCACAGTGAGACTCAACACCCGTGAAGGCCAAGAGATTTAATGGGTCGAACGCGGTGGGCACAGGACCTGAGGGTCGGGCTGTAGTGCTGAAGCCAGGGCGCGCCAGCCTTTATGGGGGTTTAGGGCGGCCTGTCAGTCGATGACTGGCCGACTGGCGGATCTCCATCCCGGTGGGTGGGTTTTTCGCGGGCGCTGGAAAAGGTGAGCTGGACTGTGGGAGAAGAACCCGGAAGGTGCCGTTTCAGACGCCCCTTTGTCTGCCGGGTCACCATTTTAGGCGGGGGCTGGGTTGGGGCCCCTTTCCAGGAAAAGGGAGGGGATGTGGTTTGCTAGTGTCTGGCGATGGCCCTTCAAGGTGGACACAGGGTGGGGAGATGCAGGTGGGCTTGCTGACCTGAGAAGAAGAGGCAGGACTTCCTGCCTCCTGGCGTCGCATTCTCAGGGGAATTTGGCAGGGGAATGGGGGGGACTCCAGGAAGAAAGCGAGGCGGAGCCCATGCCAGAGCCCTTGGAGGGTGGGGCGGGAACCCCCTTTGCAGGTGGGGCAGGGGCAGGGAGAGAGGGACAGGGCTGGGGGTGGCACCCCAGCACCAGCCTGCGCTGGCCCCGCTGCAGCGTCTCTGCCTCTGCGCAGCCTTGGCTCCCACCTGCGTGCTCAGGTGGCTCTCAGGTGCCGCAGTGAGAAGAGCTCGCAGCGTGGCCCTTGGAACTTGACCACCCAGGAATAATCACTTGGTGAGGCCAGGCTCGGTGGCTCAGCCTGTCGTCCCAGCACTTGGGGAGGCCAAGGCCAGTGGATGGCCTGAGCCTGCGGGTTTGAGACCAGCCCGGGCAACTTGGCGAGAACTCATCACTACAATAAATCGAAAATTAGCCAGGCTTGGTAGCGCACGCCTGTGGTTCCAGCTCCTTGGAAGGCTGAGGCGGAAGGATCGCCGGAGCCCAGCATGTTGACGCTGGGGTGGCCGTCAGTGTGCCACTGCACTCCAGCCTGGGCGACAGAGTGGTAGACTCCAAAAAAATAATAAAATAATCACTTGGTGATAGTGGGTATTTTCTTGCCCAAAGTCTGGCACCACCCAGTGATTGCTGAAATGGGGACTGACTGTTCTGACTTTTGCCCAGCCTCTTAGGACAAAGAGGATGGCGCTTTTGTCCGTGCGCAACTGACACATCCCCGGTGATGGGGCGTCTCAGCATTTCTTCTCTTGTCTGCTTGGTCTGAAGGTGTCTCATTTAGAAATGCATGTAGCTGCCCGCAACAGAAAGCCCTGCCAACATGGCTCAGATAAACAGAAGGGGCTTACCACACATAGCAAGAAATGTGGAGGCCGGTTCTTCCCAACCCTCACCCTCCAGTCTTGCTGTTAATTTGTCGCCTTGTGGTCTCAAAGTGGCCGTGGCTTCTCCAGACAGCGGGTCCGCATTCCAGGCAGAAAAAGAAAAGTGGCAAAATCTTTCACACACCGAGGCATCGCCTTAACATTCCGCAAGGGAAGCCTTCCCCAAAAGGCTTTCCCTGACATGGCATGTCATTAGCCGGAACTGGGCGATACAGCCAGCCTTAGACCCTCCCTCGCCTGGGAAGGTAAGACTAGGGTGACTGCTCTGAACTAACTGCGTGCATTCTGCTCCCTGACCCCTCCAGGACGGACAGTGGGTGGAAGACATGAGCCAGGGCACGGGGGGGAGAGGGACTAAACGGGCCGAGGCGGCTCCCACGTGTGACTTGTCTGAGGTCCCCATCCCCCGCCCTGTCTCCACAGAGGACGCTGAGGGAGGCGGCCGTGGAAAGCGTCTACGTGACCGGCGCCGGCGTCGACGACCTGGTGCAGGCCTACCACCAGCAGATCGGGAGAATCATGGCGGACCACGAGGAGAGGCGGCTGCAGCACCTCAAGACCCTGCAGGGTGCGGCTCTCTCCCCGGAGCGGGCGGGAGAGACACGCTGGGCGTGCTTTTCCTTTGGGGCAGAAGAGGGTGTTGGCTGTTTCCAATTCTATTTCAGGGAGTTTGATGTTTTCGACGTCCTGGTGTGTATCCCCTGCTTTGTCTGAAAGAGCCTTTTTTTTGGAGTTGGAGTGTCACTCTGTCGCCCAGACTGGAGTGCAGTGGCTGCTCCCGGCCACCGCAGCCTCGACCTGCTGGGCTCCGGCGATCCTTCCGCCTCAGCCTTCCGAGTAGCCGGAATTACAGGCACGCGCCACCACACCCAGCTCATTTTTGATTTATTGTCGAGACGAGGTCTCGCCAAGCTGCCCCGGTGGGTCTCGAACCCACGGGCCCAGGCAATCCACTCTCCTCGGCCTCCCAAAGCACCGGATGACAGGCTGAGCCACCGAGCCCGGCTGAAAACGCTTTTTAAAAAGGCACTTGGAGAAACACACGTCAGGAAAGGCTCGGGCAATAGGATTTTGGGGGGGCGGCCCAGTCAGGACAAGACTAGCCTTGCGAGATGGAGTGAGGGCATGACCGTTGTCCGGGACTTACGCCCCGGATCCTGCTTAGAGGTGAAATGATTTCGTGTCTGAGCTTCCTGGTGGCCAAAAAGCGGACACGTGGTTAAAGCCACCGCAGCAACCATGAAAAAGAGCAGGCCAGTGGCCCAAGAGATGTTCCCAGACCCCAAGAATTTTCTCCCAAGGGCTTGTAAAAGACGGCCCTGGGGTGACGGGTAGGGCCATATCGCCCCTTCCAGGAACAGCATGCAAATCATGCTTTTGAAAAGCCTGTTTCCTGAAGATCACTTTGTCTGTCTGTTTGTTTTTGAGTCAGGGTCACACTCAGTCACCCAGGTTGGAGTGCAGTGGTACAACCATGGCCTCACTGTACGAAGCCTTGACCTCCTAGATTCAAGCAATACTTCTGCCTCAGCCTCCCAAGTAGCTGGGACTCAGGCAGACACCACCATATCCAGCTAATCTTTTTTTTTTTTTTGGTAGAGATGAGATCTCTATGTTGCCCAGACTGGTTTCGAACTTTTGGACCCAAGCCATCCTCCCGCCTCAGCCTCCCAAGTAGCTGGGACTACAGGCAGACACCATCACACTCAGCTAATTTTTTTTTGGTAGAGATGAGATCGCTATGTTGCCCAGACTGGTCTCGAGCTCCTGGACTCAAGCCATCCTCCCGCTTCAGCCTCCCAAGTAGCTGGGACTATAGGCACACACCACCACGCCCAGCTAATTTTTTTTTTTAATTTTGTGTAGAGATGAGATCTCGATGTTGCTCAGGCTGGACTTGAACTCCTAGCCTCAAGCAGGCCTCCCACCTCAGACTCCCAAAGTGCTGGGATTGCAGGCAGGAACCACCACGCCCAGTCCTGAAGGTCACTTCTTACAGCATCTTTCCCCACACGTAAAGCTTCAGAAAAGGGCAGAATCCCACATTCTAGTGAGTACTAGGCACCGCACACTCCCAGGTAGGGAAATGTAACGGGTTTCCTGGGTGGTTGCTGGTTAGTGGGTTGAGCTGTTCGGCTAAGAGGCACCTTCGAGAGGGTAGGGCCTAAAATTCGTTGTCCAAACCAGGACTTCTTGAGCACGAAGGGGGCACTATGAAGACTTGTGATGGTGGCTGGGTGCAGTGGCTCATATCTGTCATCCTAGCCCTTGGGGAGGCCGAGGTAGGAGGATTGCTAAAGCCCAGCCTGGGCAACATAGCAAGACCCCCACCTCTATTTTTAAAAAGTCATTTTAGCCGGGCTCGGTGGCTCAGCCTGTCATCTCAGCCCTTTGGGAGGCCGAGGCGAGTGGATTGCCTGAGCCCGCGAGGTCGAGACCAGCCCGGGCGACTTGGTGAGACCTCGTCTCCACAATAAAATAAAACATAGCCGGAAGTCGTAACATGCACCTGTAGTTCCAGCTACTTGGAAGGCTGAGGCGGAAGGATCGCCGGAGCCCAGCAGGTCGACGCTGGGGTGGCCGTGAGTGTGCCAGCCTGCACTCCAGCCTGGGCGAAGGAGTGAGACTCCAACTCAAAAAATAATAATAATACTTTTAAAATAAGAAAACAGTAATTAATACTATGCTGGGCTGACAAGTATAAACAAAGCCTGTCCCAGGTGACCCAGGGCGTCTCGTCATTTGACTTTTGAGACGTTTAAAACCCAAGAACTTTCTGAGCAGCTGAATCTGCCAACAGGGAGGCCAGCCCCCAGAAAAGGCTGTGCCTACAGAGGACAGACTTCCTATCTCCCTGGGGAGCGTCCGTCTCTGCACCCCGACGGCTTTGCCTGCGAGTCGTTTTCCGTGCTGGGGGGCCTCTTGAGCCCTTGGTGGGGCCTGTCCTGTTGCTTCTTTCCTGTCTTCCTCCCCTTCTGATATCAGAGAGCTGGGGAGGGAGCAGGTGGACCAGTCCCTGGAGGGAGTTTTCCCCACGGAGGCCGGACAACCCCCACACCCAGTGCCCTCTCGCCGGGCTGGGGCGACACACACCTTCAGAGGGCGAGTGTGTCCTGCTCCCCTCCGACCCCAGCACCCGCCCAGACCTGGCACAGCCCGCCCTCCCGGTAGAGCCCTGACCGTCGTGTGTTCACCCGTCCAGGGGAGAGGATGGAGAGTTACAGGCAGCGGAAGAAGCAGGAGCTGGAGCCTTCGTCGGGGAGCCGGCCGGCGGCGGGGGCTCCTGAGGCCTCCCGGGCTGTGCACCAGAGGTGAGGTCGCGCCCCGGGCCTCGGGGATCCCAGGGAGGGGCATTCTCTGCCCCTTCTCGTCACACCTGTCTCCATGGCACATCAGCAGGCCGCATTGCCCTAGCGGTCGTTGACGTGTGTGTCACCCGCCCCCTTGCCCACTACGGAACTGGGGCCTCGTCCTGGTCTCTGTTACAGGCAGGGCACCTGGGACAGCCAGGGAGCCGAGGAGGGAGCCGGCCAAGGTGCGCGGTGCCTTCGATTTGGGCTTGAGAGGCATCCCTGGCGCTGACACGCGTCTCCCTCTCATTCATCTAGGGAGTACTCCCCGAAACGGACCTGGAGACGAGGGTTTGGGTGCAGGTTGTTTGCCTGGGAGGTGACCCCCGGGTCGGTGAGGGAGCGGGGAAGTGGCCCTCACAAGGACCACGTAGCGGCCCACACCCTGCAAACCTCTCTCAGTGTTGGGGGTCAGAGGTGGGGGTGGCTCTCCTGGTTTCTCTGGGTAGAACTGAGGCATCGGCTAGCCAGGCTCTTCTTGGAGGCTCCAGGAGGAACCAGGTGGGTCTCCAGGGTTGCTGGTGTTTTCTGGATCCGAGGCCGGTGTCCCTGCCACCTCTGTCCCCCGTCCCCTCTCTCCCATGCCCCCGGCCATTGGCGGCCACCATGTTCACATCTAGGACCACGCCCCAATTCTGGTATTTTCTGAACTTTGGCTCAGCCAGCAGCTGAGGCCTGGCCACCACGGGGACTGGCGAGAGGCTGTCTTGGCCTGATGTCCCTGAGGCAGGCCGTGGGACCCCTGGCCTGAGGACCGAGGACCTGCAGCAGCGCCTTCTCTAGGGGCACTGGAGCTCGTGGGAGGGAGACTTCGCCCCGCCCCCAGCTGCACCTGGGCGGGTGGCTGCAGCCCCTCCCCGCAGGACCAATGTCCCCCCCGGGGGCACTTGCTCTCTTCTGGATGGTAAGAGCATCCAGCAGATTCCAGACAAGCCATGCCCGCACCACAGTCAGGCGAGGCCCCTCCCACCTGGAGAGAAAACGGCTCTTTCCCTCAACACCAGGGACTCTGAGTCGCTGGTCCTTTTCGGAGACTGCCCCTCCCGGGGATGGCCCTTGGGTCTCGTGAGACGCCCCTTTCTGCTCAGCCACTTGGCAGCTGGGTTCCCTCGGGGAGGGAAGTCCTGTTTCTCGGGGCTTCTTCCCGGTGGCTTTTCTGCTCTGTCCTGCTGGTGTCACCAAGCTCCTCTGAGGGGCCAGTGAAAAACGTGTGCAGGTTCTGTAAGCTCCTGAGTTTCCGCAGAAGGGTGCCGCTTGGCTGCGTCAGCCTGCCGGTCTGGTGGGACGGATGGGACTTGGGCTGTGGCTGCAGAGAGTGGCGTCCACGACGGCCACTCCTCCTGCACTCTGAGGGCTCGGGGCCGTCTTCCCAGGCCACTAGCTGCCCGGGCCACCCGCAGACAGGATCGTGCCGGGACGCCGGTCAGCCTGCTGTCCCTGGCAGTGCCGACCGCCCCCCTCGCTGTCCCCCCCAACCCTTCCCTCCCTCCC